CCGGCCGGGTCGAAAGACGGGTGGTCGGTCCAGAAGAAGAAGACGCAAAAACCTAAGGAAGCCTATGCGGCCATCTAGTCTGCGGAACAGATCATACAGGCCGTAGACGCTGATGATCTGGACAAAGTTGGGTTGTCGAGAGCAGGGAAAGAGGAGAGAGAGCACAGCTCTCGAGGTTGTCCTGACGGGTACTCCCTTGTTGTATGGAGGTGACGAGTTGGGCGAAGCGGGTGAAGGCTGGCGGCTCAAAGAGGAACGATGCCTGCAGTGATGCCTGTCGAAGTAAGATTGCGGTTGATGGGAAGCGGAGTGCTAGTGGTGAAAATTGGCCGAAGGAGAGGGGGCCCGGAAGGAGGATCACGATGGCGTGGAGGAGTGGAGGAGAGGAGGAGGGGGGGGGGGGTGGGCAGGACGAGAGCGGGAGAAGGGAGATCACGCAGCAGGCCGAGCTGGCTGGCTTGGTTGACCTCGACCTGGGCGACCTGGCTGAATTGGTTGACGTGGTTGTACTGGGTTGTCCCCGTAGTGCTGTGCCATGACTGACGATGTGCTGGTGGACACAGAGGGGCCTGGCCAGGCGTTGATCCCGGCGTGGGCATGGGCGGCTGGTTGTTTGATAGATGACAGTGGAGGGGGGGGATTGGTTGACGAGGCTTCGGCAGGAGCTGGGCTGTGGCTCGAGCGTGTCGGACGGAGAGGCAGGCGCATGGTACCTTGCAGGGCAGGGGCAAGAGGGGCATGACGGCAGGGGCACTAGGGGCATTAGGGGCATGAGGGGCTTCAGGGGGTCGACTTCTGGGACCTTTGGGGCGTCACCGAGAGCCCTGACGTCGGAAGCGCAAGGAGCACCCCGTTCTGCGGGCACTGTTCCTTCCAGGCGACACGTTCTCTCGAGGCGACAGCCCCCGGTCTGTGACAGACCTGAAGCACTGAAGCCCTGGAGCCCAGCGCCCTCATCCCTGCCGCACGACCAATGCGGCGGTCCACTTATTGCCTCTTTCCAACCTCGACGCGAGCCATGTACTGTAGCGTCTGGAGGTACCGTAGAGACTGGAGGTCGTAGCACCGGACCCAACTTCCATGACCAAGCCACACCTGTAAGGTACGTGGAGCTATTGACAGCCGACTATCGAATGCCACCCTCCTCTTCTTTTGTCTGCCCCGAGCTACTGTACGGCGCATCACGAACCTCAACGGCCTGGCTGCCCGCTGACAGTGTAGCGAGTGCTACGGCGTACATGAGCCACCTCGCTTGCTTCTTGGAGTACGGCAAGGAAGGCAGCCCCAGGATGCAGCTCGACACACACTTGACGCACCTCTCGTGATGAATGCACACACCACCGCTCAACCCATTAAATTAAAGCAGGCTTGGTCCACCACACACACACACACGCCCTCTCCGTCTGTCTGTCGTCTTGTCTGCCCAACTGTCTCGACCCGCGTGCGCCACGCTTGCGCAGGCACCATCCTCGCTGCGTTGTTTATCTGTCTTTATAATTACGCTGGCGTGCCGTCGTGGACCAACACCAACACCAACGCAAGAGAAAGCGAGTTGGCGTGCGCTACTGACAAACCCTACCGCGTCCGAGCAGCCCGGGCCTTTTCATTTGAAAAAGGAAAGCAGCTCCGAACCATCAGCTGTCCTGGATGCAAAGCAGCAAACGTCCAAGCGGGCGGGTTGTCCACCTCATGATTCTTGTTTTTTTTTTTTTTT